CGTCACTGCAACAATTATACAAATTGTCGATTTTAATGTTGCTTATCTGTTGTTTACGTGATTAATTAGTAACCGTGCGTAATTCTTGATGTCGTCACTCTTCTAGATGATGTATTATTTCGTGTTATTTATTAATGAATTATTATTGCCACAGTGTGTATTCTACTAACAATTTTCGAATGTAAAAAAATCTTTGCCCACAAAAATGATATTGTAAGTAAGATACCATGAAATTGAAACCCTGCTTAAACGTTTCTGGGTATGTTTTAAATAGTTTGTTGGTATATGAGACAGGCATGTGAGTAAACGAAGCTTATATGCACGTATGCGATGACCATGCTGTTAAATGCATGTTCATGTCTTATATATATTAACAAAGTAAAAATAACATCATGCCCAAACGATGTCAACATTCGAACCGTGAAAAAACAACAAATAATCATTCAACGATATAATACAATATATGGTCGAATCTATAATGATATATATACCTCAAGACAAACAGACAGGAAGTGACATCAGGTGTTTCCATGTAAGCACATTCTGTTTCACGTGTGCATGCACCCTCATTTATATTCAAATGAGACTTGTTTGATCTGTCAGTCACATATATAATAAAATGTCTACATCATGAATAAATAAAAGATAAATGTTTTGTTATGAGTGTGAGCTGTCGATTCGCCATACTCATAGGAACACTTGTGGCTCGTAATATTAATATACATATAGAAGCTTACTCATAAATGCACATATCTAGAATTTATTCATTTTGCAATAAATTGCACTCCAGGGCAATATAATAATATTGACTTTAAAAAGTTGGGGTCGCCAGGCTAATTTTCGTGAAAATGATAGATGTATTTTAGTGAATATTGGCCATTTTGTCAGGATTACAACGCTTTTACTATAGGCTTCCATGGCAGAGATATTATGTCAAATTGTAGGCTGGTTACATAGACTGAAAAAAAATGTATTGTGACTGACGGGGCAGTTTTTATTGTCCTAAATTGTTTCAAAAATCTAGGTTTTAAAAAGTGTAAAAAAAAATGAAATTTTTCTTCAACATTGTGATTTATGGAATTATTCGAAAAAAAAGTTCCTCAATAAACGTCACTATAACACACAAAAGCAATGCATGATATTGCATGGTACCATGGGCCAATATAGTTCACACAATAAACCAATGAATTGTTATGTCATTGCGATTTCTCATTGTGTCACATTGTGTATTTCACGACACGTGGTATACAAAATCAGATCAGGTGGAGTACATATAATTATAGTATGAATTAATAAATAAGAGCGCTGTGACTACTTGTTAGTGGGCTGCATTTACCATTGAACACTGTTTCTGTGCTCACCGAGACGGGTCGGACCCCCGGTCTAATACCTTTTGATAAAAAAAAACAGTTAGTATGTATAACGATTAGACTGTCAATAAATCTTTCATGTAATAAATGAGTACAACTTGTACAACTAATGCCTCGTCTTAGTCGTTTTTGTATTTGTAATATATCATACATAATATGCATTCATACCACTGATTTATCGGAGTAGTTTATGCAATGTACATGACTTTAACTACCAACCATTTGACCGTTGACCGGTGCCTTAGTATTTTAATATCTATGCGAATACGCAATTGTGACGAAGACTTTTTTTGTATTCATTATCATCCTTGTTTTACTAAGTATGTGCTTCACGCCTAAAGCTTTGTAAAATTATCGTATTTTTATTAGCTATCGAGTAATGACAAACGGTTACACGAGCCTACTGATTGCTGGTCCATCATGCCACTACAATGACTTGACAAGCTAGCAGAATGGTTAATATAGGATTCACAAACAAACGACGCTGTATATATCTTAATCGCCGTCGGTGCGCACTTTTTTGAGTTTACGTGATGAAATATTGCCTGCAATCGTAAAATTAAAAAAGGTGATCGGTGATCTTATGAATATTCATATACCAATCGTCTCAGACTAATCGATTTCAAATGTAAAATATATTCAGTCTTTCATTTGTTGGTACGGACAAATCTCAGGGTAACGTTAATATGCAATTTAAGTCGTTGAAATAGCGGCTTACAAGGATTGTTGAAAATATTAACTTTTTGACTGTGTTTCAATGATTTTCATCAAATTCGTTTGGACTCTACTTTTGTTTTATACAATATGCATTATACTCATTTATGTATGACGTCGTTTGATTAAACTGTAAGTCTTTCACGTGACGTACGTATGAAATGCAATTTGCCTAGTTATTTATGTAATACATTATGTCTATCAATTTTTACAGGTTTATTCTTTTTTTATTTATACAATTGTAGTTAAGTTGAATGTTTGAGAAAAAAATATTTAGATTTTTTGTAATTTCTAGGCAGTGATTAATTACTGCAATTATAGGTATATCAATACACATTTTGATTTTGATGAAATTGCATATTTCATTTGATATTCGGCAAATATATTATGTGCGTCATGTTTAATCATATAATTACATATATTTACATTTAATTGTTAATGTTTGTAACTGATTTTTCTGGTATTCCTTGCATTTCAGAAAATACTTACACTAGAGAAATGCCGAATGAATAGACCCAAAGTATGCACACTGGTTTAATCACAATTTTATTGCTCGCTGGTCAGACACCAAGTGACCGACTTCCAATTTTCTACTACAATTGCATTCACGTCTGTTAAATATCTAGGCGTATGTCATGTTATCTACCAATTGTTGTTACAAGTCATTGACGGATTACGTACTTTCTAGGTATTTACTCCCATGGGTTAATAGCTTTGCAGACACTTACAGCATATTTATAAATACAATACTAGTACGTATTTACCATTCGGTAAAATATACGCCTATAACATGCTTGCTGGTGACGACGCATGACTTAAACCCCATCGTACGTGATTCTCCATCACCCCCCCCCCAAGACGGCTCCAGTTAGCGTGCAAATCGAATCTGTGACGTCATAAACAACGTGCAGAAAATGTTTCTCCGACGAAACTGCACATTTTTTCAAATGAGAATGACGTCTGTTACATATTTGAACAAGACCTTTTGAGGTTTTACAGTTAATTAAGTTATGTTATATTCTCTGTCAGACGTTATTTTACTTCACGTGTGTCCTGTCATTATCGCATGAACCTGTTTGACCTTGAACAGTTACAATAATTAAAAACAGGATTAAAAATGTGATGTGTCTACGAGCAAACATTTTCTTCAGTGGGATGCGTTGAAATTGAATAAAACTAAGCACGGAATTTATCTATGTTTTAAATACCATTAGGATATCCGCCTTGTACATTTACAAACGGATAACAAATTCATAAAAATAAATTATCGCTTAAACTAGTTGGTATACTATCCTTTTCTTAGTCTTGGTTTATTTTGTTTGACGGTAATTTGTTATTGATAATAAGGTAATTGGTATACAAACGCTTTCGTGTCACATGACCACGTGATCAGCTTGCTGAGGTATTCCACAAATTAAATAAATGTGTTGCTCGATTCGCATGTGTTTACCAAAATCGCGTCACATAATGCGACCCCACCAACACATTGAAGATACTTAACTTCAATCGGGTAACGTCTCGTTCAATGAACTAAATACTACAGCTCATAGGATATATATACGCACACAGGAGGGTAAGTTTTTATTTACAAATCGGCGAGTCAACACAAAGGGTCAGTCAGGTAATTGGTGACATATCACCGTCATCTATTAAGTATTAATCCGCCATCGCTCACTACCATGCATGAGGCACTGAGTTTGTATATCACTGGATGATGTCATCGCTTTGGTATGCAGATGACCATTATGCCATATTTGGAACAACGTGTACAACAATGACATCATTATATCGTTAAATTGCTTTTTTCAACTCTTCTTCCACAAATGTGTCCTCATCAGTTGTTATTGGAAATGGCTACTATGGTGGGTGATTTGAATAAACAAAATCATTCACACCTGTGTGATTTGTGTTTTTCGGAAATGTACGTGCTTGTGTGTAGGGCAGGGAACAAACCTCGTGTTGAGCACTCTTTACAAAAATCAGGCATGATTAAGTCCGATCCTGATAAATTAAATCGCACGCATATTTAAAGTGAGTTCAATACTACTTCTGTCATGCAATTTTCACGTATCATGGCTGCCCCCCCCCCCACACACACACACAACATACAGTACAAGATTAAATCGTTGTTTGTTTCCACTGACAAATGTCAACAGTAGTAGGTTCATAGTGTTTATTTTGTTCTCCTGTGTTATGTTAATATATAACTTTTATATATCGTATTGAGACTCAGCGTAAACAATCCATCGCTACACGTAAGGTGGCACGGAAAGACGTATGAAATAGATGCGTTAATTACGCAAAATCGTGTACCCGGGAAATCATGTCGAATTAATAATAATAATTGTTTATGTGAAAAAATACTAAAATCGCAAAACCTGGAGGGTTAAATAAGGGCCATGTTTTATAGTGGTTTAATTATTAATGACTGTTTCTAACCGCCGTGACCTTATATTGTTCATAAAGCACGTATACAAATTCTGAAACGATAACGTCATCATTTTAAAACATGAAAAACTACACAAACTCCATATTAAATAAATTGATCAACGAATATCAGGTTGTTATATGACATGTTTTATAACATATTTAATGCATGCACAATTGTTGTATTTCGTTTTCAATTGAAGGAAGGTGTTTACGGGTGTTCCGTCCTCGTTCGAGGCAAAACTAATTTCGCCAGGTTTGCTCAAATTCTTCTTTTATTGCTGTGTAGTTTAAATTAATTTAGATTGGAAAATATATTCCACGCGAACGTGAGCGACTAGAGACGACCACGGAGCAGGATTCGTGGACGGCGGTTTTAAAATGAGCTTGTAGCGAGTCGGGCTCAAAGTTCACCAACAGCCGAATAGATTTATATCGCGAGTTGGGCAGTTACAGGCTGATACAGCAGGTGTCAGTCGTCACGTGACTTGAGCAAACCTTGGCAAGAACTTCGATATCACCGAGCGGGAAATGACGAATACATGACGCGCCGTATTTTTTCTACATAAAAAGGCATAGAAACTTGTTACACAAAAATTGAAGTAAGCATCGCCGAATTTGTGCGGAGGACTTTTGGTAAAAATATTTTCGTATCTGTAGTTCGTGTAAAGAAAAGTTTGAAGGCACGCATCCGTGAAGATTTTAACACCCCTCCGTGGGCAATTTAGAAAGGTCCGATTGCCTTATCTCCGACCCCATCAGGAATCTTCGGTAAACTGTCTTCAACAGCGTACATTTTGAAGAGAAAATAGCTGAGTCCTTTTTCCAAAATTACACCTGGAAATACTCGGCAAATATGTCAAGGGACGTTAGGATACGTGTTTTTATCCTCCTAATGACGGCGACATTTGTTCAGCCGCAATACGGTAAGTCATTTTATGATCCAATTGTCAGGCGTTAAGGTGTGCGCTTAAAGACCGCCATTTTTTATGTGATGTTAGTAGTTAGTTTGGGGTCAAATGAGGATACGTGTTGTTAATTTCAAAAAACAGGGCTTAAAAGAAAATAATCACTTTCTTGTCCGATTTCATACGATGGCTAAGTATGAAAAGACCACAATAACATGTATATTTTAGTTTACTAAACATATATACATTACGTAGCTAGCGGTTTTTACATCAATTCTGCTCAACAACTCTGAAACATGGTTTCAAGGTTGTTGTTTTTTTTCTTTGCATTTTTGAAAATATCTCACGATGTTTTATTGTGGGCAATAACATCTCGGTTACTTATGTCGATATCATTTTTAAAATTAATACGGGAACTTTTGAAACGTCGCTTTGGCACCTTTTTTCAAAATGGCGGACGTGCAACAAGTGTGATCCGTTTTTTGTTTTTTTTTTATCGCGGCAGGTGAGTAATTCTAAAATGCTTGTATTCTCCATCTTTCGCTGTCGAGATGGATCCAAACATTTCTCGGTTCTCGGGAAAATAACGTTCCCGCATGTGTGTCTAAAAATAGTGTTTATCAGGACGTTTTAATGTGTCTTTTAAAACCGAATACTTGTAGGGGTGCATTTTTGCATTGCTAAGGACGAGACTGAAGTAACAGTCTCACGCACGTAGCCTCGTTTTGAACCAACGCCATGTTGTGTGCATGTCTGAACGATGATATATAATTTCGTATTTTTAAGTCAAAGCATGTTTTCATTAATGTACCAATAGGAATTTGGCAATTTAATAATTTTTATACCAAGCACAAATGAAACGAAAAATGTAAAAACGAAAAATATTAATATTCGGGTGAACCATGTGTGTAATGTTTGTTTTTAGAAGCCAATCATGTTTCTAGTTTAGTTCATGTTCAAATATAAATATAACTTAACTAGTGAAATAAATTAATTAAAATAAATTCAAAATTATGAATTAAATTTAATTTAAAAAAAATAATAATTATTATTATAATTATATTATAATAATATAATTATTATTATTAACATTAGTGTTTTAGTAAATTGGTTTCAATTGTAATATGTTTCAGAGTGTGTGCAAAAGAACGCTACCATGTTTTGTTTTTTGTACAAAATTTGTTTCCAGTTTTTAGTATTTATGAACAATAACTAACTTCACACTCATGTTCATTTTCATGTCTAAGTTTGTTATTGACAAGTTAGATGGTGGCTGATACAGCCGCATTTTTGACATATTTTACCACTTATTCATTAAGACGTAGGCGTGGTGGTGACACCTACTAAACAACAAACATCCCACGCTGTTTTAGTTTGTTTCGCAATGTTTCATTTTCTATGTGAAAATAAATCTTTATTTATAGAGCAAATAATTGTCGAAATTCACAAGTCCGGTGAACCATTCGCCAAATAACCATAAACCGTCTATCAGTTGTTTCATGCATTTGTATTGGCAATTACACGATTGTTTGGTACTCCTTGATAGTAAAACAAATGGAGTATGGGATAAATTGTTTATTTTCCAGATCAATAAATCTCTCTCTCTCTCTTTTATTCTCATGAAAATGTATTTGTTTTCGTCATTTATAAATTGTGACAGATTTTTTCAAAGAGGCGGTGACACTCACATTTTTAACAGACGCACGCGATCAATAGAAACTCGAATATATTTTCCCCGAGTCTAATCAGAACCCATGTCTTTATTTCATCCTGGCTCAACAACCATTGTTATGTGTTAGTCACCCCATCCCACGCTTTCCATCCGACTCCTAGCACAGAAAAAAGTGTTAGTCATCCCATCCCACGCTTTCCATCCGACCCCTAGCACGGAAAAAAAGTGTTAGTCACCCCATCCCACGCTTTCCATCCGACCCCTAGCACAGAAAAAAAGTGTTAGTCACCCCATCCCACGCTTTCCATCCGACCCCTGACACAGAAAAAAGTGTTAGTCATCCCATCCCACGCTTTCCATCCGACCCCTAGCACAGAAAAAGGTGTTAGTCACCCCATCCCACGCTTTCCATCCAACCCCTAGCACAGTAAACAGTGTTAGTCACCCAATCACACGCATTTCACCCGCCCCTAGCCCACAAAGTAGGATTATTCATCCCATGTCACGCTTTCCATCCGCCCCTAGCCCACAATGTAGGATTATTCATCCCATGCCACGCATTTAACCCGCCCCTAGCTCCCCATTCAATCAAGCACAAAAGGTAGGGATGTGTATCTAATTACTTTTAAACCCACCCACTTCCAGACCAATGTTTTTGTTATTACATACCGACTTCTAGACACAAATGCTAGACTGATATAAGTACTGCAAGACACAGTGCCACGTGATGATGCCATATATTTCCCAAGAATTTTTGGAGATTTCTCGAGCCTTTTATATTAAAAATATCCTGCAACTTCTAGACGTGTCACTATTGATAACCACTTCTATAGCGACCTGTGTGAAAACTATACCCCAATCGGGCGGCACGCATCCGTATAACTTTTCTAAGAGAGAACCCATTCCCAGGCTCCTAGCCCAGAAAGTATTGTTAGTCATCCCATCCCATGCCTTCCACTCGACATACAATACACGTGATCAATGACTAATTTTATTTTTATGTTTTCGCCAACATAAACATTTTACTTTTTTTACTCTTAATACTTTAAGATCACCATAATATTATCTAATAATTTTTGTGATGGAACCAGTTTATTTTGTCATTTGTATACCGGACAGACAACACGTGGGTACATTACCTCATCTTTATATTTCGGACTTTGAACCATATATTAATCATGTTTATCAAATATAAAAACACGTATTAGAAATCTCGTGTATTGACTCCGTGATTTTGACGGGTAACAGCGGGCTTTGCTCGAACGTGTTTTTTTATTAAGGCAGTTTGCTACCATAATAATATTCAAAAATCCCCGAGATCCAGCAAGAGGGGTTACTGTAATGTTCAAAATTCCGAAATAAAAATATAGGGTTTTTTCGCAAAATTACCTCAAAAATTGATCAAAATATGCATTTTTTGAATAGTACAATTGGTTCCTATGGCAGAAACATTGCATCATATCTGAAATTTTTTTTCAGTTACCTATGCTAAAAAAAGATAATATGTAGTGTTATGAGGGTCTAATATTAGTGTGACGAAAAATTTGAGAATTTTGAATATTAGTAAAAGTTATTCATGGAATAGTGTGTTTACATGGAATCCTATGGAAAATGCTCTAAAATTGACACTTTTTATATTATTTTGCATATGCTTTCTTGGAAACATATTCTTCTTTCCTCATAAAAACTTTAAATATGACCGCGTGCGATATTAGAAAGTTTCCATTTTTTCGCGCAGTGCGTCATGGGAAACGGCTGGAGCAGAAGACATTTATATCCAACGTAAACAGCAAAACAGCTAATTTGTGTCACGTTTCATCAGTATTTCGTCCTGCAGACAAAAAAGTCGCTTGGACGTTGTGGAATTGATATACATCTCTAAACAATATAAGTAATGTGTCAGGAGAATGGTGGATGATAGTGACTCTAGTGTTCATGTAAAGATAACAATGTTGTTGTTGTCAAAACTTAATAGTGGATAAAAGGCAATGTACAGAATGAAGAAGTAGACATGGTCTTAATGTTGTAATCATCTAAAAATGTGCCATTTAAATTAATTTATTAAATTAAATTAAAATTATTTTCCATTATAGGTAAATGTTGCAGGGATTTTTCATTACATCTGAATGTGTGATAGATCTTAGGTAAAATGGCCGCCGAGATCTCGGTAATAGACCTCAGGGAAAATGGCCGCCAAAATCTCGGTAATAGACCTCAGGGAAAATGGTCGCCGAAATCTCGGTAATAGACCTCAGGGAAAATGGCCGCCGAGATCTCGGTAATAGACCTCAGAGAAAATGGCCGCCGAGATCTCGGTAATAGACCTTAGGGAAAATGGCCGCCGAGATCTCGGTGATAGACCTCAGAGAAAATAACCGCCGTAATCTCGTTTAGAGCGAGAGAGCCACGAGACTTGTTTTTATCCTTCAAATAGCGTTTTATTCTTTCCTGTCATCGCGCCTATTGTTCCACAGATGTATGTATTCGAAACCGATAGAAGCGCAAGAACTGGTTTTATAAATTAAACTATCTCTGCATTACGATCATGGAAGAGAATGTCTAAATAACGCTAGTCATTAACCACAGCGTAAAACACCATGGTAACATGTTATTGGACTAAAAATATTAAATTTATAATGTTTAATTAGACGTTTGTACAATATTGTACTGAATAGACCACCATTCTACTCAGTACTATATAAACAAGGTGATGCTGTGGCATTTAATAAACGTATGGGTGGTGAGAAAAATATTAAAACAACGCGATTTCTGTATAATGAAAAATAATTGAAGAAATGTCAATAAAAATGTTGCCAGGCATATGCGAAAAATATACATAAACATCAAATTCTTCCAGCTCAACCCACCATCCCTCTCCCCGAGTTCGAATTTGTTACTCTGACTAAAGCCATAGTGATGTTATTCTATTTGTAGTGGACATACGTTTTGTGTGCTGCACATTCTATCATGGCAGTGTGTGGTAGATGGTACTTACATAGTAAATATTTGCTTGGTTTCGAGTACTTTCGATTGTTTTAAAATAACGACAACGGTGAACACAGCAGGCAACATCAATCCTGACGGGTTTGGTGACATCCCAGTGATGACTGTATCAAATAATCATTAGTTAATTAACAATATTAATTAATTAGTCATATTTTGTTGATGAGGCGCTATAACCGTTGCACATTGTAAACAAACAATGTAATTTACACGCTTTGTATAGGTCGCATGGGACCCCATATCGAACAGGACGGACTGCCACCTCACTGTATATTTGATGTCGAAAAGCAGTGAAAATAGTTTACGAAACACACAACTGCTCTGCAATCTATAATTAATAATGAAATGATCATCGATATGATCGAAACATGTACAAACAAGATTTTGATACAACTAGGAAAATCACAGGAAAGACGGGACTTGAACTTCACCCCGTTATAGGACTAATATCACATAATACATCCGCAAATCAGACATCTGGAAATTCGCACGAATTCGTTCGAATTGTCATTTCTGTAACTCAAATTTCAGTCAACCCATCTAAATATTTTTAAAAAAATGTATCGTGCATCTCGACAATTTATAGAAAAAATAAATTTCTATTATGTGGCCGTCGTATGAATATATACATAATATATATATATATTTGTTTCTGTATATGAGACACATTTTGTATTCCCCAACAAATCCTACCCAGCCCTTATTCTCTCCCACGCAAAAATGGTTGCGAAGTAAGTAGCGTATCGTCGTACACTGAGCATTAGTGCGGCCTCCGTACCAAATCGCTACATCACCCGTTAGTTAGCTATTCAAACCTCTTGACGTTAATCATTGAAATACTGAGTACACATGTCTTTACATTCCTCCTTGTTTATTGAGCTCCCTGGTGTGAACTTTGTACTGTCGCTGCATAAATGACTGAATGTTTCATCGTTGCAAAATTATGGTTGGCTTTGTTTTTTTCGAATACAATTATTATTTAGCTGTCGTGTGTGTGTTGTAAAATGCAGCGCGTCCCGTCCCGCGTTTTTATTGAACTGGTCGTATATGACGTGTGTCACTGATACGCATGCGCACTGTATTTACCTGCACGTATAGCCTGGGTATTACGCGTCTGTGGAATACTGTTTATTGCTAAAACTATAAATAATGTTCTAAGGTCTTTACTAAGATGTAATATCATACACACAAAACTTTCTTAAATGTAGATCCACAAAAAATCAAACTCCCAATCGTGTCTCAGTCTTCAGGTATATAAATACGGAAATATTTGACAAAACTACTGTTCTAATATGCTGGACGAATGTGAGAATTCTGAACCAAATAACCTTGTATGCGGCATGCCCGCTTCTTTACCAAAACAAATATTTTCTTAAATTTCTGTATTGGGTCAAGGTACATGAAGTTTCAATCTATACAAAATCTCTATTATGGCGGGAAAACGGCTCGTACAATATAAAAACCAATATCAAAAAAAAACTAGTCTCCGATCGATTATAAACGAACGCTCAATGTGATGTGTACTAGTATATAGTACTGAGTACGATCAAGGCTGCGTAGCCAATCAGGTACAATTTTGTATCGGTTGCGGCTTCGGTTTAACTAAATATTGAGAGACCAATCAGAGAGCAGCTTGTTTGTTGGCAGTGTTTTCTGTCTTTTATACATGCCTCGACTCAACCGCGCGACCATGGTAGCTAAATGGTAGTAAAAACAGACGTCACTGTGACGTCATTTGTTTACATCTTGCTAACTAGCGTGCCTCGCTAATTATTGATCAAAAAATAAATACTAACAGCATAATAAGAGCAGCAGCGGCATAATTGTGAACTCTGGTGCTAACGACCGGGTCTCGACGACCAGTAACTGCGCATGCGTAGGCGCGCGAAACCTGCCGTTTAGGGAAGTGCTGTATTTGGTTTGTTTCTTGACAATGCAGTTGGTAGTCAATCAGAACCGGAACTGTCGTTTATATTGTGAAATTTTAAAAGTTTATACAACCGAAATAAAAAAAAAGTTCGAGTTATTAAATTTTTGTTGAATTCAGACTACATGTACTTGCATTTAATATAATTGTATTTCAATAATCATTACTGTCGTTTACTTTGTCGAATGTTGCATATTTCGATTGTCTTTGAATTGCCCTTGCCCATAATACCAACTATCGGGTTTTAATTGCCCATCAGTGCTGGGTTTCGAATTCTTCGGTTGCTTGGCTTTCTTCATGGGCAAAAGAAAGACATTGCAGTGCAAAGCTACTTGCAACACAGTGCCTGATTGGCTACCTATGTAGTGTGTTAAGCAGTTTATCTATCAACAATAACTTGGCAAAACTGACGTCACAGTGTGACGTTCTATAAATGGTTGAATGAGGATGTATTCATTTAGATCAAACTAGTTTATTTGTTTCTGGTCAGCGAGCAGGTCATTTGGGAGATCCAATATATGACCAACATGCAAGGCAAACACGATTTTCATAGCTAAGGCTAGATAAAGAAGAAATAAAGCGTGTTGCACGGTCACGTGTTTAATAACTCAGAATCAGAAACAATTTTTCCTCTGGATTAGTAAATTTACGATGGTTGATTTGATAAAATAACGCAGTATCCAACCATCTAAATACTGATATCACAAAGACAATCTCATGTCGCCCTTAACGTATAATTTGCACACGAAGACATACAGACAACAGTGATGTATTGTCAGCTCGAAACTCGTGTGAAATTATTTAACTATTTTTAGCATGTTTTTCAGAAAATTAAAAAAGACTATAGCATGGAAGTATTCGTTCGATGATGTTCGATGATGAAAATACAATACAATATCAAATTTATTTAAAATTGCTCAAAAAGTCTTGCTTCTATATACTGCTTCTCGGCGCTGGTTTCATATCACTATTTAAAATATCCATGTATATTTAATAATATTTTCAAATACAATACAGAAAGATATTTTACTTAAGAGGGAGCTATGCTTTAATACTGAACCACTCTAGTGACGTAACATTGATCTAAAATTTTCTTTGTGACACACACACGGGGTAAAATTGGATGTTGTCTAAAAGCACTTATAAACGCGAGGGAAAACAAACAAGAAATTTTCCTATATGACTTTTGTTTAAAGATTTAAGGTTGGGTGTGCTATTACCAATCTGTCTGAACTGTGTTCTATGTCATACAGTGATGAATTGCACATTATACTTTGGATGGTGGCTCAAATCATTTTCTTTCTATAGAACAAACGGCTGATAATTTGGTAGAACTTTATCCATATGGATCAGGACAGAGAGATACGACGTTAGACTCAGGTGATGATCTGCAATCTCCAGCATCCAAGTTAGATTATGGGTTAGTGTTTTATGGACAGAGGCACTGGAGCATTTATGTAAGTACCATTATGTCTTGCAGAATTATCCTGGTGAAGTATGTCTTGTGGGATGAATGAGAATTATGGTGAAGTATGTCTTGTAGACAAATGATAATTATGTTTGGGTGTATCTTGTGACGGGTGAGGAAGTATGTATTGTGCAAGGATGAGGTATGTATTGTGGATGGATGGTAATCATGTTGTAGCATGCCTTGTGAATGGATGAATTTATAACTACTTCCTTAATATGTATGTGTCTGTGTATATACACATATACATGTTCTCTTGCTCAATTTCACATTTGTTATTTCATATTTCTCTTCAATAGGTGAATACAAATGGTTTAATTTCTTTCAATAATGGATTACCAGACCATAGTGAAACTCCAGATGCGTTTCCACTTGGTAATCTTGAGGTAAGAGGGTCATTTCTGTGTAGACAGCACTTCCGTGTTGTCAGTATCCTCAAACACTCAACATTCACCCATATGCGTACCTAGGTAGTTACACTCATTTTCATCTCAAGTCACGGGTATCATAACACATGATATAGTGAAGTTGCAGTATAGACTAAAGTGCCATTGAGAGATTCCTCAAATATCCATTTTCATACTATCAATATAAGCATACTGAATCCTTAAACTTATACCCATTACGTTCCAAATAAATGGTTTGTATGTCGCTTTATTGCTACTGATATCTAAAAAAAACAGTGTTACCACTATATGTTTTTATTTAAAGCGGATGAGTCGTCACTTGCGCATGCGTCAGATGGCCATAGTGTGTCATTGTTTACAAACAGACGTCTACTCATGAGCCTTTGCGTTTTTAGCGTTTGTTGTTATCATCGCTTGGGACTCAATTCCCGCGCATGCGCAGGTGACGACCCTCCCGCTTTTAGTAGCGTTAATTACTTCTGTTTTTCGGCAGACCTATCCTGGTGACACATATTACAATATGATAGCACCTTTCTGGGGTAATGTAGACACGTCGAGGCGTGGTAACATATACTATCGTCAGACTACAGAACGACTCATATTAAACCAAGCAACAGAGGACGTCAGACGTTATTTCACCGAAGAACAGGACTTCACTGCACTGTGGTGTTTTGTGGCCACCTGGGAGGAAGTTAGTTTCTTTGGACGCACGGACGAAGACAACCCACAAGATCACGTATGTAGTTGACTGTGAACGTCGGCTTATATCAATTTGGAAAGATAAAGTCGGCCAACATCAATTTTAACAATAATTGTGACCATGATCTATAGGAAATAGGAAATTATTCTAACAATTATCTTTAAAATGATATTAAAATATATAAAAATGGTCAAAATGTGTCACAAACATTTTAGAAAAAAATTTCACAATGACAATGAATAATTTAGGTCTTGATTTTTTACAAATGTGCTTGACCTCCTAAGAAGTTTCTCGCTATACGGGAAGAATTTTTTTTTTTGCGCCAGGCGTCAGTTTCGGACATTGAATGTCACTGTTGTCTCTCCTGACAACAGAAAGAAAATATTGATATGCAATCATGCTCACTTTCAAACAATGTTTCATTACAGCGGAATACATGGCAGGTTGTCTTGGCAACTGATAACCGGGCAACATTTTACATTGCAAGTTATCGTCGTGTCGAGTGGACGACCGGTGTGGAGAGTGGTGGCTCTGCGTATACAGGAACTGGCGGTACAACAGCCCAGGTATGAACAACCCTTTCCAGAGAATAGCGCCCTCTTGCTGTATTGCTTTAATATGAAGATTATGGTTTTGAGAGGTTTTACTATAATCCAGATGACGAATGACTAGAGGGGATTTCCGGGAATGGTGTATTACGAGTAACCTCCGTATCATTCGCGCCTTCTGGCATTGAAGCGTGTCAGATTGAGTGAAATTGACATACTAGTATTTTAGTAACAGTGTGGTCCAAATCAAACCGTGTTTACTGTGTTTGTCATTTAGCATAGAGTTGATCTGAGCTCAAAACATTGACTTGATTAACGAATAAACAACCAAAACACAGTCAATTTACCTACATGGCGTTTGTTCATTTACGTCACAGAAATGGCAAAAGAAGGCACGAGAAATTTGTCTGCACTTTTTTCTATATTCTATAATATTTCTGGAAATGAACGCTAATTTTGGAGCTAAAATTTAAGTCAGTTGTCAGTTTTAACTCACGAAATTTGGCTATAACCTTCTACCGCCAGTCCAAAACACTAATGACCGCCGCAACTCCCCCACCTCATCCCGCAGCGGGGCCACATTTTCAGAGGAATCAAATTTCATAGGAATTAAATACCCGAAACTTTATTTTTAAAATACACAATTAAATTAATTTTTATATTCTCACATTGATGATTTCCTCATTTAATTTTTTAATTAAAATAATATACTTTATACTACCTTTCCTATTTTCCTAGTGTTAGTTTATATGAATCAGCTTGTTCGTTTCAGGTTGGTTTCAACGCTGGAGATGGCCTCAGTTATTTTACGTATGGTGGTTCCCGTACAGCAGATATTATCAATTTACCGTGGAGCAGCAATGTTGAAGAACCTGGTAGATACGCCTACCGTATAGATGCTTACAAAGTTGACAGTGGCGGCTGTGGTGGCACTGGTTAGTACAGTCGTGATCAGTAGTTGTAAAAGGGTTAGTTATTCACTGGGTTTAAATTTTGCTTATTTCGCTGACTGGAAAATGCGCTAAATTAAAACCTAGTGAATATGTAAAATTTAGCATAGAACACATTATCTAAATGATAAAACCGTGAATTTAAAACCCACTGAATATGCCTGAAATGCTAAATCAGTGAAATTTAAACCCAGTGAAAATTAGTCATTTTACAGTAGCATAATGTTGGTCTACAGTACATATGTATACCTCTCAATATAAAATGGCGTATGTCTATAATATGAACATAACATTCGTTTATATACATATTTTAACGTCTCAGTAATTGTGGCAGGAATTTACATTTACGATACAACTTATAATGTTTCTATTGTAGGTCGCCTGCACTTCTTTCCACATTGGGGAAATCTTCTTGGAGGCGATAGGCTCCTTGTTGGCGGGTCCTGCTGGGATACAAACAAACCCTATTTTCTAAGAATCGGCATCCAGGAATTCAACTGTACCTATGAAAGTGTGTTCCGATTGGAGTGCATCACACCTCCCTTCTACGAAATTGGTGATATTAGGGTAGACCTGTCACAAGACGGTGGTGTCACATACCCGTACAATGGACGCTGGATCATAGGTACGTTAAATCACGGGGATCAGAATTGAATTGTCACATTCTTGTGAAAGCCTAGGCATGTGGACGCCATTCCCTAATTCAGCCTTTCGATATGTAGCGCCCTCTAACAACCAAGCGCTTCTGCGACGTCCACATTACACCACATGACGTAACTAAGCGAAAACCAGATAGTTCACTACGATAACTACGATTGGATGTGTAGTTGTTCGTTCGTCTTTTAGAGTACGGTAGTTCTCTTAAAATCATGAGTTTCTATTGGCGGAACGAGAACAAGATGTTAAATTTGCAGAATTGATTTTTCAGTCGCTAGAGGGCGCGACATAACTACGGGTAGAATACCCAAGATTCAGTATTGGTAGTTCTGACTTAGAAATGAGATTAAGACTGTTTATAAGTGTCTATAACTGTCATGGTTTGGGGTTTGGAATATTTATTGCAAAATTCATAGTATATTCAAAATGGTGTTTGTTTAATACGACCGCGAAGAGCTTAATGAATATATATTTGTGCTAACGATACAATCATTGTAATTCTACCATATCAAAAAATGTTCTCAAAGCATTCGGTATCAATTACATAATCAGTTATTGGCAATGCTTCAAAAGTCACCTGGGTCAAATAGTTTTCCTAATGATCAAGTGTTTTGCCATGATACGGTACATAAATAAATCAGTGAGTATATAATATTTGCATTCATCAATGATGTCAGTGAACTGTGATCGTTACTCGAACCGCGTTCGATGCCGCCTTTTAAGGCAGAAGCCGACTCATAATTGTTAGGAAGGTTTATTATTGGTTTATAGTGTATCGTCATGGAATATTTTCCCACGAAAATTTATTTTTGTGTGTTCCAGTACCAATTGTTGAGGAAATCGACTACATTTTATTAAAAAATTGATATTTTTTAGAACAATTCAATAATTGTATTTGTCATGAGAAATTATCGTGTTTTAACACTTTTCAATAACCTGATTATGGTAGTAACAAAAAGTACCCCATCGGTCATGATATACACTTTCTCATAACCTATGTCACCGCCCTACTATTTGTGATGACGATAGGGACAATGGTAAAGGTTTTCTAGCGTTTTTAAAATGGCCGCCATTCACTGAATTGCAACCATCATTTTCTAATTTTTCACGAATGATTTCTTGTCTATGAATTTGTTACCAGAGCCCCCAATACAGGGTAAACTTGACCATAAAGTTACGCGTATTGATTCCCACCTCAATAAATGGAACGTTGCGGGACATGACCTGGAGATTACTTGGGACAAAAACGAGTTTGAAACTTCGTATGTAACAATAGAAGCGATGTCGTACCGGGAGGATCTCAATTTCCCTACATGGGAGCTTTTAGCTGAACTTCTTTATCAGGAGGTGAACGACGGTAGAGCAACGTTTATGGGGCGGCCTGTGGAAGGAGCCACTCACACCATGGCAGTGGGAGCAATTAGAATTCGTCCATTTGAGGGCAGGTGAGTTAATATGCTTATGTAAGTTACTTTTGAGTGATAGGTTACACCTGGAATAT